TAAACAGGCATTTACACTCATTTCACACGTAATTGTTAAATTTTAAGACAAATGAACCTTCAAACAAATTTCATATCTTAAAAAGAAAAAAAAGGTTTGGATAGGTAACTTAATGACTGTCAGCCTTCATCGTCTACATATTTTGCTGATATTTGTAAAAAAACAAACAAAAGAAACAATATTAGTTGTAAGCCTAAAAATTCATTACTGAATAAAGAGAAGTTACTTAAATCCGAACATAATCCAGACAACAAAACAAATTGAAATCACCCATATCTTTACAACTTGTCAAATGTGCAAAATATTAATCAACATTTGTCAAACTTGCTAAGTTTTACCCAATGATTTCATATTAAATGTTTATTATATTTAAATTTAAATAGATATACAAGCTAGCTTATCAAGTTTGGTGGGCTCTTTTACAAACCTGAATTCAACTTATTTAAATAGATATATTTTGTCAAAAAAATAAATATTATCTTAAAATTTAAGCTTATTCTTTTTATAAATAAATTATATCTACACTTTGAATAGATTAGTTCATAAACCTATTATAATTAATATTAGTGAAAACGTACTTTTTGTTTTTTCTTTTCAAAATTGAAGGAAAATAATTTTAAAAAATAAATTACATGTTTATTATTACAATTTTAAATATTTAAGTAAGGATATTTTAAATATCATCTTCAAATGTTTTAAATTTTCTCTACTTCAAAATCCATAATATTAAAGGAAAGATAAAATTAGATAAGAATGAGTTCTGTTCCTTTCATTATATTTTAATTATTTTTTTAAAATTGAACCAAATACTATGCATGAGAATAAAAAAATTACTCTTCATATTAAAAATGATAATTTATTATGTAATTTTTTTTTATTATTATTATAAAAATATATTTATAATGAATGTTAGATATTGTTGATATTATTTTCTAATCAGTTGTTTTTATTTTAATCAACTAAATTAAAATTATTAAAGTAAATAAATAATAAATTATAATGTAGTAAATTACATTTCTATTTGATTAAAAGTTGTGTTGTAATAAATAAATAAATGGTCTATAAACATAGTCTATGTAATATTCTAAAGAATAATGAATTCTGGAGTATCAAATCGATTTCCATATCCAAAACTTATAATCACTAAATCCAAATACTTGATTTTAATATTTAATTCAACTTTTATTTATCATAATTATTTATAAATTAAATATTAATAATTTTAAAATAAATTATCAATAAAATAAAATATCTTTTACAATAATAATGTTTTTTCATTTCATTATTTTTTAAATTAAATAATTAATTCATTTTCTACTTCTTTTTTTATATACTATAATGATCTATCAGATAATCATATTTTATAACTCAACTACTTGCAACAAAAAAACATGAAAGTCTTAACCACACACACACATATACACATGATTATAAGTTCCCAAATAACTGAAAACATGAAAGTCTTAACTATCGATCAAACAACAAATAAAAAAGTAGCTACATAAGAGTAGCCCACAATAGATCATCATCCTCTAACATGACCATCAAAACAAGGCTCCTATTCCAATCTATCTTTGTCATGTTATGTACTAAATATGATCATCGCAGTCTAATCACAAAGAAACATGTAAGGATAAACTCAAAATCAAAAGAAATCACTTAATATAAAAGCAGGTATGCCAACTATAAAACAACTTCAACATGACAACTCAACAACAGCATAAGGTCAATCAAGCCACATATCAACATAATATACAACTTAATAGTACACCAACCTAGCATATCCATGATACAACTTTCCAACCCCACATGTGATCAACACTACACTCACTATGCAACTGCTTGATAGCACCACAACTTAAACAATAATTCTTCGTCGCAACATAAATTGTCATACATCACCACTGTCTATATTAATAACCTTCAACACATTGTCTTAACAACATAATTTTACAACTTATCAACTTTCAACTTACAACAAAATTGCACAACTCATCATAATCTCATATTAGCATATAAGTGACACAACTTTGCAACACAGTATCAACGGAACAAAACAACAACACCTCGACATAGCTAGTATGCAACAACCTTTAAAATATAAACAACTCAACCATATAACAATAATTCTAACTTACACCACAATTATGCAACTCACCAACAATTCAACATAGCATATGAACAACTCCACAATCAATCCATCATATGCACAACACCATAATTACATTTGTTGTCACACATTTAACTAAAAGATCTTTCACAATAATAATGAGCAGTCTAAATGGCTTGTCCTACCAAACCAATCAACCTTTTTACATCTGTTAGATCAACAATTAATCGGGATACTGATTACAACAACATGATTTCTTAGATGTCGTAACATAAATTTGGAAAATCTAGCATCATCGTTAGCTATAACATGACTTGGGTATAAATCTGCCATGACATTGACATTCATTAACCAAGTCAATTGTGGATTCAGCCTGTTAATTATCTATGCGTGGTCTAATATTCAATTAGGGGTTTTAGCCCTCGAGTTCATGTCTCACTCAAACATTAACTAAGGACAAAGAGAATCAGCACCCCACTCCAAGAGATAATGCTTACTTAATAAAGTTTTTTTTAACAATTAGGCTCATAGAACACCACACCAATATCTTTACTATGAGATATCCAACTTTTGAAAACACTATCTTCTTTAGTTTTAAGTTAATCAACACATTATGCTCAAATGTCTTAAGTACTTTCAGCATCATCGCTTTAACATTCAACAATTATGATCATCAATATACATTATCACAAATCAATGTATATAGAACCAACACCATACATCCTCAAATAACATGTGAGATTTCAAATATCATACAAATATTTAACACAATATATACAACACTTTGGAATATTATTCAATTCAACTTAAAACAACTCAACACACTTCATTTTAACATCCTATAACATGATTCATCAATCATAAATAACATAATATAACATTGTTCCACAATTATTCAACTTGCAACAACAATATGATAGGTAAAAGCATAAATACCTTGAATGACCCAAAAATTGTTCAACCAAAAATATTTTGGTCCAACAAATTTGACTTGAAACATAATTCAAGTGAGCTTGTCCAAATTTACCCTAACCAAAAAAATTTGGTCCAAACATTTCACTTGTTAGGTGAATCTGTCTAAATTTAACCTAGTCAAAGAAATTTAGTTTAGCCAAATTAATTTCAAAATGATCTCAACCCCAATTTTATCTGGCCATCAAAATATGGTGAGCAAAATTGTGTTGAACCTACATGCAAAGTTACCATTTTTAGCTCTCCTACCCCATCAACTCATTTAATAGCTTATATAACACAAAATCAACCTTAAATTCAATATGCAACATAATCACATCAAGAAATCATCAATTTTGGATTTTGGTCCATCAACTCCAAAATCCCAATTTCACCATCTTCAACAACTACCTCGAAAACAACAAATTAAGCCATCAATGGGTAAATCAACAACAATTACTACATGCAACAACTTTAAAGAACCAAACCAGTTTCTCTTACCTCAAATCTTTTAGAAAAGAAGAAAGGAAGGAAACTTAAAAAAAAAAAATTATGCCAACTTCTTTATAAAATTTCTAGCTACTCAACTTCTACCATGCCAACTAATGATCAAGAGATCTTCCGGTGGAATTGAATTGACGATCGGGTTTGGCCCCAAAACAACTTTCTCTAACTTCTTTATAAAATTTTAGAATTATGAACTTATGAAATTCATTTATCAAAATTCGCCTTATATATCTAAACTCACTTTAGGTCAACTCTCACGCATTTAAGTTATATCTTCAATAATTTAAATTTAGAACTATCACAATCTAAGTTCCACCCCATAAAAGTTACAAATAAAAAAAAAATTGAAATATATTACTTCATTACATTTATCACAATAAACATAAGTAAGAAAGCATGGTATTAAATATACCAAATAAAGTATAAAGGACAAATTTGAGACACAAGTAATAATTAATAATACAATATAAAAAATTAAAATAACACTCATTTTAAATATTAACTCTTACACTATTTATTATGAGTATATATATATATATATATATATATATAACACTCATTTTAAATATTAACTCTTACACTATATATTATGTGTATATATATATATATATATATATATATGGGGACTGCTAATATATTCCTATCTATTTTTTAGTGGGAGTATGTTAGCAATCTAAACCAAAATTTTAGGACAAAAAAATCACTCGTTTCTTTTGATTTGGTTAATTTGTATAAAAGATATTATAATAATTTAATTTAATTTTAAATGAAAAATAAAATATTTTCTCTCTCTTATTAATTTCATTCTCTAAGTCATTTATCTCTCTTATTAAATTTATTTTCTAACTCATTTATCTTTCCTATTAAATTCTTTCTCTAACATATTTATCTCTCTCTTATTAAATTCATTCTTTAACTCATTTCTCTTTCATCTCTCATGATGTCTCCCTTTTTCTCTCTCTGAACAAATAAAAATTAATTAATAGAAAAAATAAATGAATTGAAGAATGAAATTAATAAGAGAGAGAAAATATTTTATTTTTATTTAAAATTAAATTAAATTACTATAATATCATTTGTACGAATTAACTAAATCAAAATAAATGAGTAATTTTTTTTGTTTATATATATATATATATATAAAAGAAGAGAGGTAGTATAAAAAAAATTAACATTATTAACTAAATTAATTAAATTTATTAATTACTGTGCATAGTAGTTCCCCAAAATTGATGATAGTAAAAGGAAGCAACCTACGGCTGTCGGTCTTGTCATGTCCCCAATCCGAGTGGACTGATGCCTCTAACGGATGTCTCATTGTCTGTGACCGGCTATTGCCTATTGCCGCTTTCCCTCGTTTACATCGCCTCCATCGACACGTTGTTCCCCAATTTTAAGCACTATAAATCTCGACACTTGCCAAGTACTCTCTCACACACACCAACCTCTCTCTCTCTCACTCTCTCTCTTATAATCACTGTCTGTCACACACACCTAATAGCTATGGACACTGGAGGCTTTCATGGCTACCGCAAGCTCCCCAACACCTCCTCTGCCTCTGGTATTAAAATACACACTACAAATATACTTTACTTATACTATATGCTTTACCTTTTTCTTCTAATATTTTAACTTCATATATATGCATGACTCGTGCAGGATATACATTAATATACTTCTGAAATATCATCCATGTATATTTAATATATAGTACCTGTCTCGGTGATTCTACCATGCATGCAACCTTTTTATCTCCTCAGTCCTCACTTTTTCTTGCCAAATCCACTGAACTCTGATGTCATTATTTACTGGAATCAGTTCTTTCATTAATTTCTAGCATTTAATTTGCTGATCTCTTTCTCATGCGCAAAATCTGATATCTTCCTTATCCTATCCTCTATATAAATATATATATATATATATATATATAGATATTGCTTAGAACTTGTAAGTTAGTTCTTTTGTGCAGTTGATTATTTCTTTCTCAGTTTCCCTATCCTAAGGCCGAATCTGAGCCTTTGGTGTCTCCTTCCACCCTACCTAGGTGGTTTCAGTAAAGCAAGGTGTGAAACGAAGATGATGACAATAGTGGGTTATGGCTTTATATTATTTTAGAATGGAACAAGTGGCACGCATGCATGCATGCAGTTACTGACTTGATTGTTACAAGTGGCATCCATGCATTTTCCAACATCATATCAGAATACAAGGATCTGTCTCCACTATACAAACCTTTTCATCTTCTTTTACTTACCCTCCTTCCCCGCCAAGCCAAGACTCTGGTGTGTTGGAGGGACATATATATATGTACATGCATTATGCTGTTCGAACCATATATATTATTCAACAATCCCTAAGTCCTAACTTTTTAAGGTTTTTTAATTTTAGTGATGATATTTTGATATATGCGCGTTATATACAACATACTCTATTAATATCCATTATTTCTGTCTCTAAATCTAAATGTCATCTAGTATATATATTGAGTGTGGCCGAGCTATTTTCCTTTTTTGTTTTCATTCAAATAAAACTATAAAAGTTTCTCCACTTGAGGAGTTTCTAAATCTTGAGTTACCCAAAAGCCAAAATTTCAAACAAAAAAACGAGTGTGGACCATTTTGCGTTACATGCATAGGCACACACATCCGGCACCACTTTGAAATGCGTTTCACAGTGACGAATGCATGAAAACAAATTTAAAGGCATGAAAAAGAGAACCGTTTTGAATCATTTGTCCCCTTTAATATTAGCCTCATGACTTCAGAGCTGTTTTTTTTGTCCTTTTCCCCGCATTCCTCTTACCAAGAAAGCACACACAGCTTCAATCCTTCACCCTTTTCCTCCACACTTCGATCACATCAGTTACACGCTTTCATTAAAACCTGACGTGTATCCCCCAACTTTATCCTTCCACCACCGATTCATTTTGTGGCAGTTTCATTGATAACATAAAAGAAACGAAAAAAGCATTGCATGTACATACATATAACCTTAATTAACCTGACGCATTCACAGGGTTGAAGCTGTCAGTGTCAGATATGAACAACATGAGAGCAGAGAACAACAACAACCACACAGGAGAGGATAACGAGTGCACGGTGAGGGAGCAAGACAGGTTCATGCCAATCGCAAACGTGATAAGGATCATGCGCAAGATTCTCCCTCCACATGCAAAAATCTCCGATGATGCAAAGGAAACAATCCAAGAGTGTGTGTCCGAGTACATCAGCTTCATCACTGGGGAAGCGAACGAGCGTTGCCAGAGGGAGCAACGCAAGACGATCACTGCTGAGGACGTGCTTTGGGCCATGAGCAAGCTCGGATTCGATGACTACATCGAACCACTCACCATGTACCTTCACCGCTACCGTGAACTCGAGGGTGACCGAACCTCCATGAGGGGTGAACCACTGGGGAAGAGAACCGTTGAATACGCCACTCTTGGCGTCGCCACTGCTTTTGTGCCACCACCCTTTCACCCCAATGGATACTTCAGTGCTGCCATGGGGTCCTACGTTAGGGATGCACATGCAAACAATGCTGCTTCCTCTCATCACCCTGGAATCTCAAACGCTGAACCAAATGGACGCTCCATGTAGATTGAGTTGAGATCTTGGAGAACAAAGAAGGCTTAATTGCATTTGGAAGAACGAGGATAATTAGTCTTATAATAATTAAGGGCTGGCATGGGAAGGGGGTTAGAGTTATATCCTAATCCTAACTATGTGTATGTTTTGTTTATGTTCAACGGATGGATTTTCTGATGTTTAATGTTGTTTGTCTTTGTAGTACTCTAGTGCTTAATATAAATGGCTTTCATGTTTTCTTGTTCTAGAAGTTGCTTTGCTCCAAGACAAGATTAATATTGGTCAAAACTATCATTTAATATGACCAGCGTTGATTTCGGTGCACTAATTAAAATAAATTGTTGTCAAACGAAGGAAAAAGTTAAGGACTAATTTGAAAAGCTCCCAGCGAGGATCGAACTCGCGACCTTTCGCTTACGAAGCGAACGCACTACCACTATGCTATGGAAGCTCAGCATATCAGCTATTTTACAATTTTGGCTCAAATTGAATACTATTTAATAAAATTTAACCCGAATTCATTAGTATTCCTTACTGAATTTTTTTGTTAAATTAGAAATTTACTTCAAAATGACATTGACGTATTCATTTCAATATTTATACAAACATAAATGACATTTTAGTATTTGACACAAAAAATATAAAGAAAAAAAAGAGAGCATAGTTTTGATAAGTGATAGTATGAAATAAAAATAAGATGAGAGAGATAAAAAGAAATGGTACGTGCCTATAATTAAAAAATGTCTGAATAACACTGTTTTGTACAACATAATTTTATATTAAAAATTAATTTTTGTACATCCAAGTATTCTACTTGATACCTAGTAAGAGAGAAGAGAGATTAAAAATTGTAGATATTAAAATATTAGTCCCATCGTATGTTTCATGGGTGTTAGCGCGTGTATATTAGTAAAATATAGTGTGGAATGAAAGAAATAGTTAATAGTTAATGTAATTTGTCAGATGATTCAGGAGCGTAACTGGTGCCGTTGCCTGTCACCAGAAGAAAGTAACCCTTTCCATTGCTATTGCTATGGTGTCAGGTGGTTGATGACATTGACCAGTCATTTGACTTAGGAAATGAAATCCTTGAAATTCGTTTGACTCTCTTCTTTTGTTGCTAATTAATGAACTATGCAAGAAGCAGTTTAATGTCACTGATCTTACAGTGAAACAGTACACAACATCTTCCATCTTATCTTCCACCTCCTCCACCTTTTCATAATTTCCCCTATCAAATGTTTGGCTCATCAAATTTCTTAATATCTTTTCTATTCATGTATGAAAATGGTTTTGTTTTTAATTTCACCCATTCAATTTCATGTTTTATTATTCAAAATTTAATTCAGTTCATTACGCAATAAGAAAATGATATACGTTTTACATATAGAAAAAATTAATGTTGTTAGTATAAATCAAATAAATAATAATAATATTGTATTATTTTAATAATTAAAGGATTAAACTATTTTTTTAATAATAAATGAATCAAATTAAATAATAATAAAAAAAAAAGTAATCAAAAGACTTATTTAACCTATTAAAATTGAAATTTATGATTTTCTTGCAATTTTTTTCTTCTAGGGTACATTATCCGAAGTACTCCTAAATCAGTAAATCTTCTAACAACTTTTTTTTCTTTTTCCTACAGTTTGATATCATTTTTCATTTATGTGATTGTATCCGAACAAAATTACTCTTCAATATCCAAATAAAAATTAATGTTTTGTTCTATGTTAGTCAATATCGGATATTTCTCTATCATGGGATGTTTTTCAAATTTATGTTTTGTTTGGATGAAGAGATGATAAGCGTAGGAAAAAAAAGTTGGATGAAAAGAAGTAGGAGAGAAGATAGAATAAGTAAAAATTGAGTAGATTTTTAAGGTATTTTAATCGATAAAATTAAGTAAGTGAGAAGTATAAGAGAAAGATAAGTTAAGTTTTATCTTCACTAATTTGTTTAGATAAAAAAAATGGAGAGGAATAAAATAAATATTTTTCTTAAAACATTTTTGTCCTTAATTAATGTATATATA